ATAGTCCTTGAGAAAGCAGTAACAGATTATACCAAGTAGGGGCACCTGGGTGGCTCAGTCAGTTAAGTGTCTGACTCTTGATTTCAATTCAGATCATGATCTTAGGGTCCTGATATCCAGCACCCCCGTGGGGCTCCACACTCAGCCAGAGTCTGCTTGAGACTCTCTCTCTCCCTCTTCTCCCTCCTCCTCCCCCTCTGCCTCTCCCCATGCTTGCATGCACATGCATGCTCTCTCTCACATAAATAAAATCTTAAAAAGATAAAATAAAATGAAAAAAATAAATTCTACAAAGTAGAAATTTGCAGGTTACTTTCTCTGGCCATGAATTTCTAAAGCTGGAAATCCAACAATTAAGAGATAACCATAAATAACATGACCACATGGAAATTTTAAAATACTTTTCTAAATAATGTATTCATTGAAGTAGTTTACTCTTGGATTAAAGGGAAAATTGAAGGTAAATTACATATTCTTTAAATAATGTTATATCATTAATTAGAATTAAAAATAAATCAAGTTTCAATTCAAGTAGATAGACTGGTACAAAGAAGCTACTTTTGTCTTTCAGAAGATAAAAGTAGAAAAACAATAAATTATAAAATAAAACAACCATTCTCCCAAAATGGAAATAAAACTCTATGTCAGTTTATTTTCCAGTAAATAATATAACTAAACTCCTGGAAAACCTGACTGATACAAAGAAAAGACAAAAATATGCAACATTAAGAAAAAAAAATACAATTTTCTCTTCCTCAGAAAACCAAGGAAACACGTGGCATGACAATAATTATAAGAAATACTATGTACAAATTTAATCCAACACATTTTAGAATCTAGAAATTCTCATGAAAATCCTTTATTACTACCAAAATTGACTCAAAAGGAGATTAAAACCTAAACAGACTAAGAAGAAATTCAAAAGATTGTTGAAGGCATAACAGCTAATGAAGATCCAGATCCAGATGGTTTTATGAATGAGCCCTTTTAAGAGATTATTTTGATCTTGTTTATAATATTCCAGAACATTGAGAAGGCTAGAAACTTTTCATATTTCTAATATCAAAACAGGAAAAATTAACACAAAAAATAAAACTGCAGCTCAGTCTCAGGAATACAAGTTAATATTCTAAATAAGTATTAGCAAATAGAACCCAAGGGTCTATTAAGAGAGTAATACACCAATATTAAAAGAACAATACAGCAAGATTAGGAATGATTAATTCCATAATAGGCAAGGATTGTATTAGGATATCTGCTAATGGACATACTATTCATAGAATGAATGAGAATGATCATATGGTCATTATTAATAGACATTTTAAAGATATTTGATAAAAATTAATTATCCATTTTGAGTGGTAACTAATTTTTAAAAGGACTAGAAAGGAACTTCCTAAACATGTCAATGTAGTTATTATTTTAACTGTCTAGACATTTTGTTTGATGATCATAATAGGTACACTGATTAAAGTACTCAAAATGAAAAAGTCCCACTAACATGTAATCCATCAGAAATCACAGCCACTTTAGAACAGCTTAAAACAATGCAATATTCAGGTTAAAATTTTCATCCCATATGATGCTAGACTTTATTTCAAATGTTGCTGAAAAAGTGGGTGTGTGCCTTTACACTGTGTATGTCTATAAACCACTGAGCAGAACTTTACGAATCGTTTACGCCTACACCTTTTTTTGCAATGTATCAGAGGAGCAGAGAAATGTTCCCCCAGCTAGAAATATTAATAAAGCAGAAATAAATAATTCATTTATTCATTCATAATTTATAGAGCCCAGAACTGAGTGCTCTTCTTAGCAAATGTAGTAAGTACCTTCTTCATGGGGAATGACTGATAACCGAATTTTGCCAACTTATCTCCTAGCAATGATTGGCTTAAAATTGTCAATTTGGTATTTGTTAAACCCCAGTTGTTATGTGAGCAATATCATGATGGGTATTTACAGATGTAATCATGGATAAAATCAAGTCCGTGTCCTCTGCCGCAAACCATTTTAGGAACTATGTTACAAGGTATGATTTTCAGGTGGCAGTGGGTTCAGGGAGATGATAGCATCAGAGCCAGGCTTTGTAGGATAAGGGGAATTTCCACGTGTGCAGAGGAGAAGGAAGAGCTTTCCAGACTAGAACAGTGCCAGCTCTAAAGCATGGAGGCAGGAGCTAGAGGTTATGTTTATATAATTGAGTGGTGCTCAGACCTAGTCAAGGGTTAGTGTTACCTGAAGAGCTGTTATATAAAGAGAAGAAATAAAAAAGTGAAGGAAGAACTCCAGGGCCCCCATCATGGAGATCCAATTCAGTGAGAGACAGAGAAGACCAACACATGTTTTTTTTCTTTTTCTTTCTTCCTTTTTTTTTTTTAGAGAGATATTTTTTTTTTAATTTCTTTTAGAGAGAGAGCAGGGAGAGGCAGAGGGGGAGAGAAAACCTCAAGCAGACTCCCTACTGAGCAAGGAACCCAAATTGGGGCTCAGTCTCATGACCCTGAGATCATGACCTGAGCCAAAATTAAGAGTCAGACACTTAACCGACTGAGCCACCCAAGCGCCTCTAGACATATGTTTTTTAAAAGTCCTATGAATAGGGCACCTGGGTGGCTCAATTAGTAAAGCATCTGCCTTCAGCTCAAGTCATGATCTCAGGAACCTGGGATCGAGCCCCATGTCAGGCTCCTTGCTCAGTGGGGAGTCTGTTGCTCTCTCTCCCTCTGCCCCTCTCTCTCACACTCTCTCATGTACTAATAAATAAAATCTTTTTAAAATAAATCATAAATAAAAGCCCGTGGATGATTCTGATGCACAGAGTTGAAACTCAGTGCTGTGGTCTATTATGTGAGAAGACTGTAAGAATTATGGAGATACTATACTATGGTATATGGAGATACTGCAGGATATGCTGCTGGAAAGACATATTGGAGCCAATGATAACTGGGTGACACTATTTGGTTTGGGGGGGTTTGTTTGCTTCCTTTTTTAAATTTGTTGCATCACCACCATGCCTCCATTAGATGTCAACCAGATATCCCGTACACAAAATTTGACTCCTTGTGTGAATTCAAAGCAACACCAGTTAAATCAGATGAAGAGGAGGAACCAGTCAAGAATCTTGTTTCAGTTCGATACTGCTGTATAATCTCCCCGAAACTTAAAACAATAGTCATTTTATTATCACTTGTAATCCTGTGAGTGGACTGGACTTGGCTAGGCAGTTCTGTTCCCTGTGACATGGGCACGGGTGGCCCACAGCCATGTGGGGGACTGGTCCGACTTGAATATCCAAGATGGCTCACTAGCATGGCTTTCAGCCGAGAACTCAATGGGGCATATCCACTAGAACATCTTTGTGCTTCTCACTGCATAGCATTTGGGATCCAGAAGAAGCACCTCAAAAACAAGCATTCAAAAAGGCCCAGACCATAGGGCACCTGGCTGGTTCAGTGGAGCATGTGACTCTTGATCTTGGTGTTGTGAGTTGGAGCCCTACATTGGGTATAGAGGTTATTTAAAAATAATATCTTAAAAAAAAAAAAAAGGCCCAACTACCAAGCTTCTTCTAACCTAGTTTTGATAGTCTCAGATGCATTCTCTTAGTTTAGTTGACCAAATCACGAAGACCCAACTCAGATTCAATGGAAGGTGACTTAAACTCTCTCTCTCTCTCTCTCTCTCTCTCTCTCTCTCTCTCTCTCTCTCTCTTTTATGATTGTTTAAATTTATTTGAGAGAGAGAGAGAAAACGTGAGCTCTGGGAGGGAGAGGGAGAGAGAATCTGAAGCAGCCTCCACACTGAGCACAGAGCCCAACATGGGGCTTAATCTCAGGACCACAAGATGGTGACCTGAGCTTAAACCAAGAATCCAACACTTAACTGACTGAGCCACCAGGCGCCCCAAACTCCATCTCTTGCTGGGAGGCACAGTGTGTGTCTACAAGGAAGGAAGGAAATAGATGGCAATCATGTTTTGGAGAATTGCGACTGCAATCTGAACACACCAAGTACTGCAGTACCAAAATATATAAAGGAGAATTGTCGGAAATTTAGATTGATGTCAACAAAAGTGCAATTAGACAAAACAATAAGTAAGGATAAAAGGAATCTGAATAATATAAAATGCTTATGTGATAGAGTTATGTATTGAATTCCTTACCTGGCAGTAAAGAATATTTCTTTATTTCAGGGATCCATAGAATCTCTGTTTCCCTCCAAAAGAGAAGCACTTGAACCCACATATACTGATATAAATCTGAAGCCTATAAATGTGTTTGTTCCCTGACCTCTCAGCCTTGCAGAAATAGTCATGGTGGGGTCTGTTTCACCCAACTCTTGTATTAAGTGAGATTCTTCCTCTTTGGGAATCCTGTCCTCTGGATGACTTTTTTACACATGGTGTAAACAATTGAGTTATACATTCTCTCTTAAGTTCTTAGTTTTTTATTTGTTTTCTGAAAAGAGTGGCATTGAAGGAGGCTTTATTTTGATTCCCCACAGTCTCATAATAAGAGTAGTTTTGACTTGTCCTGAGTGTTCTTTATACTTCAAGGTCAACATCTAGCAACCACTGGAATCATTTTCTGATTTCCCAATAATGCTGGCATAAGAACCGAGCTGGAATCTTTGCCAACACCTGTTTTCCTTGTATTGTTGTTTTTTTTTTAAGCCCCTTAAAAAAAAAGTAGTTTTCAAATTCATGTGTTTTTTGTTTTTTGGGGTTTTTGTAGTCTTTACTCTGCTTTCTGAAACTCAATTATTTTACCATCCTAGTAAGAAACAGAGTATGAGCTGGGGACCCAGGTTGTGGGGATGATGTCATTTCCTGGCCTGTCAATGATGAATCCTAGTTACTTATTGCTTCTAGCTCAGTGTCCTCATACAATGCTAGGTGCTCTTTCTGAATTGGATCTCGGCTATATACCACCCAAGGTAAGAAGTTGAAGCAACCAACCCTCTTCCACAGTAACGCTTAGATCTGTTTGCCCTTGCAGGTCGTCACACTGTGGTACAGAGCTCCAGAAGTCCTGCTTCAGTCCAGCTATGCCACCCCTGTGGACCTCTGGAGTGTTGGCTGCATATTTGCAGAAATGTTTCGTAGAAAGTAAGAAATACCTTTTGTTTTGCTTTGTCTTCATTGGAAAGAGACATTTTGGGTCTTCAATAATTTAAGTGGCAACATAGCATTTCTGTTTCAAGTAAGGTCACGAGTGTGTGTGTGTGTGTGTGTGTGTGTGTGTGTGTGTATCTCCATATCCACCTGCTTTGGGCTGCCACATTCAAGCTTGTCCTGGAAAAACATTCTTGGTCCTTAACAGTGAAGTTTTATAGGACTCTAGCTTCCACTTCTTGGAGATTCAGGGGAGGAAACATGCCATTGTCCCTACAACTTATTTTTGTGGGTGATGGTGGGACGTAGAAATATGCTCAAGGTGGACTTTGTCCATGGTAGAAGGACCAGGGCTGTTACATGTATGGAAATTTTGATGCTGAGAATAGTTGCTTAAACAGAATGTTCAGGCTAAAAAGGACCAGGCAAGGAAGATGTCAGCACTAGTTCAGAATACTGCAAATGCTGTCAGACTGAGGAGATTAGACGTATTCAGGCATGACAGAGAGCAAAGTAAGGACCAGGGATTTAGAAATTATAGAAATAAAGGTTTTTGGTCAGATGTGGGGAAAAAATCTAATATTGGACAGTTGTCTGAAGAGAAGATTGGGGTTCGTGAAAATAGCACATTCTCATTAGGTGTCTAAGAAGAAACTAGGTCACCCCACATTGGAGATGTTTTCAGTGGCACTAGTAGAGTAGGCAGGTGGGCTGAATGACCTCCAAGGACCTCTGACTCTTAGGGTCTGTAATTCATTTGTTTGACTTTCAGGTCACAAGAAATAGCCAAACAATATTGTAAAGATCTGCCGGGAAAATAATCCATACGTGGGTACTAAATTCAGCAAATCAAAATTAAGCAGAGAGCCTAATCATAATCTGTTAACTCGTTGTTTTCTATTTTTAGAAATAAAAATAAAACAGAAATAAAAATTCTGTTTTCCATGGGAAATGTGAGTTGGAAAGCTGAGTATATATTCCTATTATACATGTTATGTTCAAAATGTCGGCTACACAGTAGCTCAGAAGAAAGAGAAGTGGTCAGCCATTCCTTGTCTGTTCTTTTGTTTTAACCAAATGAAGTTTAGTGCTTATAATAAATTTGGGGACCTATTTTTAGAACTCAGCATTTTTTATATGTGGCTCACAGGAGGGAATCATACCAAAGAAATCAGAATACATAGATGTTCATTGCAGGCCTACTGTGTGCCGAGTACAAGGCCAAACTCTCCCCTTCTGTTACCTTTTTACACCTCCCCATGAAAGATAACTGATACACAGTGATAAATTTAATTGACATTACTCAGCTAAAAAGTAGCAAGAGTATTGCTCCAAATGAAGTCCTGTGCATTTTAATCCAGTGTTGTTTTTCTATCAAAGAGAGAGGAATAAAGTAATATTGAAGGTAGCTTCAGTGTTTGCCCAACAGGCTAAATAAGTGATTTGGGAGTGTAGTTCTTGTACCAACAACCTCAGTATCTCTGAGGACCTTGGTAGAAATGCAAATCCCATCCCCTCCCCCAGGGTCCACTGGATCAGAGGTTCTTGGGCTGGGGCTCAGCAACCTGTGTTTGAACAAGCCCTCAAGGTGATCCTAATTCACCCTCCAGGCTAAGAACCACTGGGTTGGATGACAGGATCACCAGGGATGAGCAGTCTTTAAATGTGCAACTCCCAGATCTCTCCCTTAGAGATTCTGATTCATTCCTGGGCTGGGGCCAGGCATTCTTGTTTTTAAAAGTACCTTTTAAAAGATATAATTCTTTTCATCAAACAGGTATAGAAAACATTGTGTTAAAGGATTGTGGTCACAGGTGCCTGGGTAGCTCAGTCAGTTAAGCCTCCGACTTTTTGATTTTGACTCAAGCCATGATCTCAGGGTCATGAAATCAAGTCCTGCGTCTGCCTCCCCACTCAGTGGGGAATCTGGATATCCCTCATTCTGCTCTGCCCACCTGCCTTTTCCTGGCTTGCTTTCAAATAAAATAAATAAATGAGATCTTTAAAAAAAAAAAATAAAGGATATGGTCAGAACAGGAAATAATTTACTGTCAGCATTACAGGATGGAAGTCAGGACAGTTATTGTAATTCATCTTATAAATAAGTTCATTAAGCTGAAAGCTGATTCAAGAAATGTACAGTAGAATCAGATTTCTGTGTCTAGAATTGTCCTCAAATACAAAGAATGAGTCCTTCTTTTGTAATGGGATGAGAGTGGTCAGTTATTTTTCAATAGTACAAGACTTGATACCAGCCACTATTGATGATAAAATCAATATCTTCCTGAAATATGTTAAAAGATAAAATTTAAGATATGTAGTGTTAAGCATTCACTAGTAAGGAACTTGCTATATTTCTAAGTATAGCTAGTCACTACTTATGGAACAGTTGCAACCTAAATTTTCATTTTAGAGCATTAAAACATTTCCCACTGAAGTGGCTTGCAGAATCCTATGTAAGTCTAGCTTGTGGAATCCTGTATAACCTGGAATATATATGAAATGTTATTGGTGCTAATTCATCAAAACCCATTTTCTGTTTATAACATTTTTTCTGTGGGAAAATTCATTCTTTGTTCTAATCCACTATGACAGGGATATACCCTTATTTTCACCCTAGCATGAGAAGGGGGTACTCAGTGTTGGAGACTCAGTGAAGGGCTCCTTCCATGATGGCAGCAACAGCCAGCCTCAGTTTGCTGAGAAAGTGAGATGGTGGGTAGAGACCCACTGGCTCTTTAGAGATGCACAAAAGAAAGTTACCCTTTCTTGGAGCCTTGCGTAGAGGTAATAAATTGATAATTAATTGCCTGAAGGAGGAAGCAATATCAGAATCCAGTCCTCTTTGCCTTTCTGGCTGAAGAATGAATCCAGGCTTACCACACATCATTCCTGGCCTGGGTGTTCTATCTCCTAGGTAATTCCTGCTGGTTTGGCTTTGACCTTGAATATGGCTGTGGGATCTGACCCTGTTCCTGCTCTGTTCATGTTTGGTATTTCCTGTGATAACACCAAGATATCTGAAAGTGCATGCTTCTTACTCATGCCAGATGAGTTCTGAGGTCTAGCCCCCAGCTTGACCTGATTGTAGCTTAAGTCCTGAGTCGGTGTTGACACACCTATTGCAGTGTCCAGCTGAATTTACAAGCCATAGATTCTGAAAGCAGACTCCCTCATTACCTTAGGTTAATCCTAAATCAGAGAACATGGCATTAGCATGTGTCTACCCCGGGGTTGTTATTGTTATTATGGCAATATTTCCCAAATGTTGTCATCTTTTTTATTAGCACCTTCATGGTTTTTCCATATTCTTGAAACAACTATACTTTACTTAAATTTTTACCCTAAACAATTTACTTTTTTTTTAGTTGAAATATAATTGACATATTAGTTTCAGGTGTACAACATAGTGATTCAACATTCATGTACATTGCAAATCAATCACCACGTTAAATCTAGCTACTATTTGTCACCAAAGTTATTATGTATTATTATTAACTACAGGCATACTTCATTTTATTGTGCTTTGCAGATACTGTCTTTTTTTCTTTCTTTCTTTCTTTCTTTTTTTACAAATTAAAGTTTGTGGCAACCCTGATTCAACCAAGTCTGTCTGCAACATTTGTCCAACAGCATTTGCTTATCAGTTCATGCCTCTTGTCACATTTTGCTAATTCTTGCAATATTTCAGACTTTTTCATTATTATCATATTTCTTATGGTATTCTATGATCAGTAATAAGGACCCACCCAAAACTCAGATGATGGTTAGAATTCTTTAGCAAAATATTTTTAATTAAACTATATACATGGGCATCTGAGTGACTCAATGGTTAAGCATCTGCCTTTGGCTCAGGTCATGATCCCGGGGTCCTGGGATCAAGTTCCGCATCCAGCTCCCCGCAGAAAGCCTGCTTCTCACTCTGCCTATGTCTCTGTCTCTCTGTGTCTCTCATGAATAATTAAATAAAATATTTTTAAAAATTAAGACTTATACATTGGTTTTTTTAGACATAATGCTATTGCACACTTAATAGACAACAGTATAGTGTAAACATGACTTTTATATGTACTAGGAAACCAAAAATTTGATTTGATTCACTTAATTGATACCCACTTTATTATGGTTGTCTGGAACCAAACCCACACTATCTCTGAGATTTGCCTATATTTCATTTATTTCTGCTCTCTTATTTATTATTATCTTCCTTCTACTAACTTAGGCTTTGTTCTTTTTCTGTTCCTTTAGGTTTAAGGGTAAATGCTTATTCTTGAAGTAGATCTGTATCACTGTAAAATTCTTTTTTTTTTAAAGATTTTATTTATTTGTTCATGATAGACAGAGAGAGAGAGAGAGAGGCAGAGACACAGGCAGAGGGAGAAGCAGGCTCCATGCTGGGAGCCTGAGAACTGCCGTTGCTGTGTCTCTAAGCTTTTGGACTATTGTGTTTACCTTTTCATTTGTCTCAAGTTATATTTTGATTTCCTCTTTGATTTTTTTTCATTTACCCAGGGGTTATTTAGCAGCTTGTTGTTTAGCCTCCATGTGTTTATGTTTTTTCTAGTTTTCTTCTTGTAATTTTTAGTTTCATACCATTGTGGTTTAAAATGATGCTTTTATATGATTTTAATCCTTAAATTTATTAAGACTTATTCAACCACTCTGTGCCTTTTGATTGGAGCAGTAGTCCATTTAAAGTAATTATTGATAGATATGTAATTATTGCCATTTTGTTTATGACTTTCTGGTTGTTTTTATAGTTCCGATTCCTTTCTTTTGTTCTCGTCCCTTGTGAGTTGGTGACTTTCCTTAGTGGTATGTTTATATTTCTTTCTTTTTATATTTTGCATATCTATCAGAGGTATTTGGTTTGTGATTACCATGAGGTTCCTATATAAGATCCTATATATTATAGCAGTCTATTTTAAGTTGATGCCTGCTTGAGTTCAAGCACATTCTAAAAGCAGTACATTTTCACTCCTTCCCATCCATGT